AGCTGGTGGCCGTGGTGGTTGCAGGGGTCTTGGTGGCTGTGGAAACTGCGGAGGTGCTGGTGGCCGTGGTGGTTGAGGAGGTGCTGATGGGCATGGTGGATGTCACGGTGCTGGTGGGCATGGTGGTTGCAGAGGTGCTGGTGTCTGTGGAGGTTGCAGAGGTGCTGGTGGCCATGGAAGTTGCAGAGGTGCTGGTGGCCATGGAAGTTGCAGAGGTGCTGGTGGCCATGGAAGTTGCAGAGGTGCTGGTGGGCGTGGAGGTTGCAGAGGTGCTGGTGGGCATGCTTGAAATGGTGCTGCTGGTGGGCATGGTGGATGTGGAGGTGCTGATGGGCATGGTGGATGTCACGGTGCTGGTGGGCATGGTGGTTGCAGAGGTGCTGGTGTCTGTGGAGGTTGCAGAGGTGCTGGTGGCCATGGAAGTTGCAGAGGTGCTGGTGGGCGTGGAGGTTGCAGAGGTGCTGGTGGCCATGGAAGTTGCAGAGGTGCTGGTGGCCATGGAAGTTGCAGAGGTGCTGGTGGCCATGGAAGTTGCAGAGGTGCTGGTGGCCATGGAAGTTGCAGAGGTGCTGGTGGCCATGGAAGTTGCAGAGGTGCTGGTGGCCATGGAAGTTGCAGAGGTGCTGGTGGCCATGGAAGTTGCAGAGGTGCTGGTGGCCATGGAAGTTGCAGAGGTGCTGGTGGGCGTGGAGGTTGCAGAGGTGCTGGTGGGCATGCTTGAAATGGTGCTGCTGGTGGGCATGGTGGATGTGGAGGTGCTGGTGGGCATGGAGGTTGCAGAGGTGCTGGTGGGCATGCTTGAAATGGTGCTGCTGGTGGGCATGGTGGATGTGGAGGTGCTGGTGGGCATGGAGGTTGCAGAGGTGCTGGTGGGCATGGAGGTTGCAGAGGTGCTGGTGGGCATGGAGGTTGCAGAGGTGCTGGTGGGCATGCTTGAAATGGTGCTGCTGGTGGGCATGGTGGATGTGGAGGTGCTGGTGGGCATGGAGGTTGCAGAGGTGCTGGTGGGCATGCTTGAAATGGTGCTGCTGGTGGGCATGGTGGATGTGGAGGTGCTGATGGGCATGGTGGATGTCACGGTGCTGGTGGGCATGGTGGTTGCAGAGGTGCTGGTTGGCATGGTGGATGTGGAGGTGCTGATGGGCATGGTGGATGTCACGGTGCTGGTGGGCATGGTGGTTGCAGAGGTGCTGGTGTCTGTGGAGGTTGCAGAGGTGCTGGTGGGCATGGTTGATATGGTGCTGCTCGTGGGCATGGTGGATGTGGAGTTGCTGGTGGGCATGGTGGTTGCAGAGGTGCTGGTGGGCATGCTTGAAATGGTGCTGCTGGTGGGCATGGTGGATGTGGAGGTGCTGGTGGGCATGGAGGTTGCAGAGGTGCTGGTGGCCATGGAAGTTGCAGAGGTGCTGGTGGGCGTGGAGGTTGCAGAGGTGCTGGTGGGCATGGAGGTTGCAGAGGTGCTGGTGGGCATGCTTGAAATGGTGCTGCTGGTGGGCATGGTGGATGTGGAGGTGCTGATGGGCATGGTGGATGTCACGGTGCTGGTGGGCATGGTGGTTGCAGAGGTGCTGGAAGCTGTGGAGAGAGCAGAGGTTCTGGTTTCTGTTTTGGGCGCTGATTTGGCAATGGCTTTGGTGGGTGCATTGGTTTTGATGGCCGTATCGGAGGTGGTGGTGTTTGCAGGGTACCTGCCGGGTGTGGCGGGTGTGGTGGGGTGTGGTGTGTGTTTAGCAGTGCGCTCAGAGAGTCGAGGGCTTGGCGTGAAGGAGTTGGTGCGAGGCCTGTCTTAGCGGTTGCTGGAGGACAGCCTTCCTCGGGGCTGGGGGGTGGGAGAACTTCATCCTTCTCTTTCTCCCTCTGGATCCACTGCTGCCGTGGGTGCTCTGTCCCCCCCCGAGGATCAGGCAGTGACCCCAATCCCGTCCCACCAGCAGTTCCCACCTTCCTCCCCCAAAGCGCCCCTTGGACGTCCTCCACCCCGGCCCGAGAAGCCATTATTAGAACGAGTTTCGTTCGCAGCTGATCCTCATGCGCTTCGACTTTATCCACGTCCTTTCCTTTGCCCCGTTATTCCCCAGACTTCCCTTTTCCAAGGAAAGGGCTGAAACCCGCTCACGTGTTTGGGCAGCACGTTCGATGCAAGGAAGCCCGTGTCACCGACAGTGGGGTGCTGGCTCGTGTCAAGGGTGTGGTGCACAGAACCGGGAGCACGTACTGGGGTAGGGGTGAAGGACGGTGACAACCTTGACCTGTTATCCCTCCTTCAAGGATGGGTCATTCCGGCACAGGGAGGAGGGCGATCACACCGTGGTGATGGTGTCCTTCAAATCAAGTTTTTGGGTTTTGGGGGTTTTTTTCCGCGGGATATTTGCCCTGGAAAATTCCCCAGCTTGTTCGAGCTGGTTTTAGCTCAAAAAAAAAAAAAAAAAACAACACCCAACGAAAAAAACCCAAAACAAAACCCCAAATTAAAAAAAGAACGCCCAAACAACAACAAAAAAACCTCAAACCCCCCAAAAAAAGCCATGCTGTTTCAAAAAGCCCCGTCTTTCCAGCCCGTTTGCTCTTAATTGACGTTCTCGAGCTGAAGCCGTGCTGCCTTTCTCCTAAATTAGCCTCCCTTATGCAATCAACTCGCCGTCTTCCCTGCTCTTAACGAGGTTTAAAAGCTCCGGAGCATGCGGGGGGGATGCGGGCAGGGGGTGGATTGGCATCGGCAGACGCCGGCTGCGGTGCAGCGGCTGCAGGAGGGGAGGATGGGGGTGGATGACCGGTGAAAAGCTGGAGCAGGAGCCGGGTGGGAGGCTGGTGGTGATGGGGG